CCAGATGTTAACCATAATATTTCTGAGTGCTGAAATTACAGGTGTTATTTTTCTGCTTACTTTTCAGTATTCTCTGAAATTTTCCCCGGCAAAACAGTATTTGCAAAAATTAACACGCTGGACTGGGTTTTGTACCTCAGTGGTAGAGGTAGATATTTCTTCCCAGTTCCCACTACAACCATGAGCCTAGCTCGTGAGAGGCACTGGGTTCAATCCTTAGCACCACATAAAAATAAATAAATAAAGGTATTATGACATTCTGCAATAAATTTTTTTGAAAATACATATGGGCTGGGGTTGTATCTCATCGGTAGAACGCTCGCCTAGCACGTATGAGGCTGTGGGTTCAATCCTCAACACTACATAAAATAATAAAGTATTGTGTCCTCTTACAGCTAAAAAAGAAATATTAAAAAAAATTAACACATGGGGCTGGGGATGTGGCTCAATGGTAACGCACTCGCCTGGCATGCCCGGGGCGCTGGGTTTGATCCTCAGCACCACATAAAAATAAAGATGTTGTGTCCACCGAAAACTAAAAAATAAATATTAAAAAAATTAATACATATGATTTCAACTAACAAACTCCAAACTTTTTGCAAGAAAGCTGCCAAAGCCTAAGGAATAGCCAAAAATACTGTGACATAAGAGCAAAAGAGAAAACATTAACAATACCATAACTAGAATTCTTTATGAACTAGGCATTCTAGAGGACTCCAGGACAGTCTGTCACCTTTAAGGAGGCCTACAAAAGAGTTCTGAAACTACAAAACCTAGGTTCAAATCTTTGTCACTTTTATCTGTATGACCTTGCATTAGTCACTTACCCTTTTTAGACCCACTTTATCTATAAAAAGAAGTTATTACTTGCCTTTCCTATCTAAAAGAACTGTTGGAAAGATCAGAGATAATGTGACACATTATGAACTAAAAAGTGCCATTTAAGTAAGATATTATTCAAACATTTAAAAAAAAAAAAGATGCTTAATGGCAGAGCCAAAAACTTCAGAAAACACAACAATCAATTTCATGAAGTAATAAACCAGGGTTTTTTTGTTGCTGTTGTTTTTAAAGGCTACATCTCATCATAAACATTCAGTTTTTCTAAGACTTAGATATTTCTTCCCAGTTCCCATTACAACCATGAGCCATTTATTTTCTTATCCCTAGTTACCAGCAAGAAAGAGTACAAATTACACTGAACTCAAAAGCCTCAGCAAGAAGGCTGGAGCAGCATGTTGATGGAGTTCACCAGGAGAAACCCAAGGTTAATCAGCTATGGACTCTAAGCACCACTACAATCAACAGGGATTACAAAACACTCTTTGAAGAGAAAGACAATGTAATCACCCAGGAGAAAACCACAGAGGAAAAGAAAGCAGTATTTCAAACAATTACATGAAATTCTTAAAAACTAAAGTGCTTTATAAACTGTTTTTAAATACTGTTCACARAATTAGTGACATAAAACAAAAGCCATCTAAATGTGGCACTTGTCAAAAGCAAGTTATGGAGATTAAAATGAAATCTACGAATAAATTGTCTGATCTACTTGCCTCTATTTGAAATAAAAGCAGACAAATTACACCACAAAGATCAAAACTAAGTGGTTATTTCTTGAAAACAAAGAGGCAAAACATGACAACAGAATCTAATTACATGCTTATAAAGTAAATACTTTTAAAAGTATGGTTTTTCTTCCCATTGAATTTCATTATTTACTCCATTAAAATGATGATTAACATCTTCCCTCCTACAGTTCCTCTGTGTTAAAATAGCAGTAAAACTTGGTTTAAGTTTTAATTCAGAAAACAGTCGTTAAAAAAAAAGTACTTTTAAGAGGAGCTACAAGAAGCTGTCAGATTATTAACTATCAACATCACCTGGCTATCACACCCTCCCACTTTTAAGTTGTTAAAGACAATAAAATATTCACTCTCCATATTCTCACAAAAGTCTTTTATGGGTAGATCCTTAATGAAAAATTAAACTTTTCATAAACAAATGTGCACAGAGTACTCATTTTGATATGTATGACTCACAATATAATTTTTATTGGCAGTACCTTGAAGTGTTGCAGCTTGCACTATTCCTACAGGGGATACAGATCTGTTTTTCCCATCTAGATCTTTGAACAGATTCCTTATAGATTTAAAAGGATTCACTAAAAGGGCCATGTGGAAAATAATTATGAACACAATCCACAGCAAAATTAAATGAGGACTGTGAACTAGTATAACAAAAAAGTCACTGYATTTATCAAAAGCCTCTCAGTTGAAAGTACTATATTTCCATTTAGATTTTTTCTAATCTAGGTTTTTCTTTTTTTCTTTTTTTTTAGTTATAGATGGACACAATACCTTTGTTTATATGGTGCTGGGGATGGAACCCAGTGCCTCACACATGCTAGGCAAGTGCTCTACCACTGAGCCACAACCCACGCCCTGTTTTTCCTAATTTTACTTTGAATTTTTTTCTACCTTTTTAGGGTGTATGTTATTTACCTCCAAAAATCACAAACAAAAAACCCTGCAAATATATTTCCAAAAGGAGTATCTTCCAAACTTGACTACACAAAAAATTATATGTGCACATTCTCAAATAACTATAGTTGGCTCCTGAGATTACCTCCCCCACTCCCAAAAAAAGAACGGTAAATTTAACCACAATGAAGCATTAGCAAAATTTTTAACACAGCTATCACCAGYTAAGTAATTCATCACAGCTCCTCAAGGTCTCAGTCACACACAATGACATACAAACATGTCAAAACAGTTATTATAMTTTAAAAAATTATAAAACAGGAACATAAAAGTTGAAAACTCCTCTGGAAAAACTCAAGATGATTTTGGAGACAGCAAAAAAAGGACACCAATTTTAGATAAATAACATTTCCCCAAGTGTTTAGTGTTCATCTGATATGGACTCATTTTTGTAAAGAGAAAACTTTACCTAACAAGACTCACACCAGGGATCTCATCTATCCTCAAAGGCACTTTCTTAAAATGAGAAAGAACAAAGAAGTAAATCTCCCAGCATGTGCCTTCCATACTAGTTTCTTCGGACATCATCARGAGTCACAATATAGCCCCCACAAGCTATTCAGTTTTACTCTATGGTCCATGTATAATAGAACTGATAAGCTATTTCAAAAGGACTGCAAACAAAATAAATATTAGAAGGCAAGGATCACAGCAACATAGTGACTATTTTGGGAAACTATAGAAAACGCATATCTTAAAGTTGTGTACTTTTTCATTTCAAGGGTTAATTATCTCCAAATAGTCAAATTCCTGAGGCTTTATCCTTTCAAGTCAAACTGAAAGGAAAAAGAAATCATCCATTCCAGTTCTTCTCTGCCTTAAATGTGTAATTAGAAGTAAATTTTAAAAGAATGGCACTCAAAGCCAATATACAAATATACAAATCTCGCAATGTTAATGCTCCCAAGTTATTAGGGAAAACGATCTTTCAATGAGGCTTTTCCACAGAAAAACTCTCCAGAAACGAACCAGGTGTTTGGTGTTTTACAAGTTGTTTCATCACAATGGAGAAAAAAAAAAGTGATTTTTATTAACTATAAAAAGAATTTACAAATATCCCCAAGGATTTACAATCGTATATCCCAATCTCCACTCTGACCGAGATGTCAATTCTCTGGGCTGTGATATAACCAGCTGCTCGGTTCACACACAGGAAGCCACAGAGAAGGGAATATCGCGTTCAGAGCCTCGAAATAATACGCGTTAGTTAAGAACTGCTTGCTACTAAACCAAAATTATTCAAGCGGAGCCCCATTTGTCACAATCCAATCATAAGGGTTCCACCCCCTCCCCCAACTGCTTGTGTAGTGGTATATCTGCTTCGGTAAAGAAGCCATCATCAGGTAAAGATTGGGGTGGGAGAAAAAGCGGGGGAAAGGGGGCACCCTTTCATCTAATTTCGCGAGGCGTGAGTAATTGGTACAGTTGAGAGGAAAGGAGGAACGTTCTATTTATTGGGGGTTGAAGTAGGATGAGGGGGGAGAATTTCGTTCAAATCAACATGGCCAGCAAGATGTCCCTACAAACAAAAGGCAACGGGGGGATATAAACACGAACCATTCACCTCCATCAGCTATAGCATCGCCATCATGGTGTGTGCAGAGACCCCCAAAGACTCCTCTCACCCTCCACGCCAGTCAAAGCAAGAGAAGGGAGAGAGGAGCTGCATCCCACCACCCACTACTCCTTCCAAATACACACTCATCGAGGGGGTTTCTCCCCACTCCCCGGTGGTCCGGAATCAAAGAGAAAGAGTAACGTCCCACCCAGGCAGACTCCCCCGCCACCCCTCAGCCGAACCCCAACGCCGGCCCGAGATTCGCTAAACTTTACCGAAGCTTCAACCCCACCTCCCCACCCCGTGGCCCCAGGACCGCGCTTCCCACTAGCGGGGCAACCCTGCGCCTCCTGACAGGCGGGCAGCCGGGAGAGGCAAGTCCGGGGCGGGGGCGCCAGGGAATCCACGGAGGGGCGGGGCGGCCGGAGCCAAGTTCCCGGGGGTCTAAGAAGAGCGCCTGACAGGAGCCCGGGACTGCAAAGGAGGAAGAGGAAGCGGCGGCGGGGAGCTTTCCCAATCCCCCCCAACGAGAACACCCTGCCCCCAGCCCCCCATGGGGGGCGGGGAGGCGGGCTGCAAGGTGAGGAGCCCCAGCCGSGGAGACAGTCGCAGCCCCTACCTCCGGACCCGCTCTCTCTTCCCCCGCCACCCCCGCCAGAGGCGCCCACAACAATAACACGCCGGGGACGACCCGTCAGCGCCCCCGAGGCACCCGGGGCCCGCGGCCCGCCGCAGCCAGGCCCCCTCTGCTGGGGCCGGGCGAGCCTCTCCTCCCTACAACTCCAGACCCTGGTGGAGCCAGGCCCGAGCGGCCCCCCAGGGTCGGACCCATCCCCCCCAGCACCAGCGGCGCCGTCTCCGCGGCCGAATATTAGAAGTGAATTCGAGCTGCGCTTTACCTTTAGTTCCGCACTGTCCGCCATCTTGCGTCTGTCAGCGCAAGCGCAGTGAGCCTCGCCGGGGGCCGCCGCTAGACCCTCCCCTCTGGCCGGCCTGGCCCCGCCCCGACCCGCCCCTCTGCCTCCCCGGCCCGCCCCCGGCCTCCGCCCCGCGCCGGGCGCTCGGAGCCCCGCCCCAGGCACGTACCGCAGCGAGACAAGCACGTACCATTTAAATAATGGCGCCAAGCGGCGAGGTTTGACAGTTACTCTCCCCTCGGCCTCCCCGCCCCCATTCTCGCTCTGCAGGGGCCTCCAGGGAAGGGACCGAGCTAGAGGGACGCTGGCCTGAGCCCCGCCCCTGGGGATCGGCGGAACCCTTTGGCCAAGCTTCGATGCCTACTGTCGTAGAAACAATAATGACCCCTCCCCCAACCAGCAAGGCATTTTCAGCACCTGCTACCTGCGAGGTTATGCGTGGGCCAAAAGTAACAATCCGTTAAGTTTAAGGAGCACTTGAAGCATTTCTGGACTTGTTGGCTCAGATCCTCCTCATAACGCGGTGAGATAAGCAAAGAAGAGATTGTTCTTCCATGGTAAATATTCCGAAATGAAAACTCAGGAAAAGTGACTTGCCCAAACAAGTACTGCTTAACAGGGGTGGCCTAAGACAAAATTCCGAAGATGTCCATTCATTAACTCTTTGTTTTCAACAAGTATTTATTTAGCGACTATCTATCGGTCCTCTGCAGTGGGAAATTAGACAAGATCCCTGCCCTCCTATCATTCTCTAATGGGGGAACAGACAAGTTAACTAATAAAGATACAATAGCAAAGGGTGATGAATGGCAGAAAGGAGCAAAAAGTCCAGTAAGAGGAAGAAAAAAGGTGTAAGAGGAGGTGTGCTTAATCCTCTGCTATACTGCTATTCCAAAGACAATGAAAGATTTCATACCTTTTCCTTTCTACTAAAAGCGTCCTATACTTCCTATCCAACCCCTATTTTCTATTGGTCAACTTTGCCTCATATCTCATGGGAAAAAATGAAAGATAAGAGACATGAATTCCCTTATCTTCTCACGGTCAAAACTACTCTTATCTGTATAGTATCATTTGTATTACTATAGAATGTCCCTGCATCAAGAAGACCAGGCCTTCCACCAGTGACCTGGATTCCTTTCACTCCCACATTCCTAAAGATTTTACTCCTACAATTACTTTGCCCTTCAGTATCATTAGTTTTTTCTTTTTTTTCCTCCCAATTGGATCACTCTCATCAGCATATAAACATACTGAAATTCCTAAAATAAACCTTCCTTGACTATAAAATTGCCTCCAGCAGCTTCTCCATTTCACTCTTCAGTGTATGACTTCTCAAAAAAGTTTTTAATCTCTCTACAGTACTTGTTCTCACTTCACTTTCATCTTTCAACCTAGTCTGATCCAGCTTTGGCTCCCAACATCATGATCACTTACAAGATTACTAATCATCTCCACTTTTCCAAAGTCAATTATCAATTCTTTAGTCTTATCTAAACTGACCTCAGGGAACTGCTAAGAGTTGATATGCTTCCTTTCTCTTGAAACAGTTTTTCCCCTGAACTTTCCTCCATATCCCACTGTCCTGATATTCCTATCCCCTCAGCTCAATATCCTTTGCTGATTTTTTTCCTCTTTAGATAAAATTCTTTTCTTTCATTCTGTTTGTTGTTGTTGTTCAGTACTAGGAATTGAAACCAGAGTCATGTACATGCTAGCTAGTGTTCTACCCCTTAGCTACATCCCCAGTTTTGGGGGGTTTGTTTATTTGTTTGTTTTTTAATTTTGAGACAGGTTCTCACTAAAGTGCTCAGCCTGGCCTTGAATTTGTGCTGCTCCTGCCTCAGCGTCCTTAGTCACTGGGATTACAAAACCATATTACTACTATGCCCTGGTTGGCTAAATCTTTTTTTTTAATTTGTTTTAATTAGTTACACATGACAATACAATGATCTTGACATATCATACATTTGAATCAGATGGGGTATAATTTCTCATTTTTGACTAAATCTTGAAACACTAGAGTGTCCTGAGCTCAAGCCTTAGTCCTCTATATTATGTTATCACCAGCTGATGTCATTCAACTCCTTGATTTTAAGTCTATAAGATAATAACTTTCAAATGTCTCTCTCCTGCTTAGGTTTCCCCACCAAAACCTAGATTCACAAATGTACTTGAGAGGCTTGGGAAGTAGTTCAATGGTAGAGCACTTGCCTAGCAAGCACAAAGAATGGGTTCCATTATCAGCCAAAAAAAAAAAAAAAAAGTAAGTGGCTACTTAATATCTATACTTCCTATCTCATAGTCACCTCAAACTTATTAGAGAGATTTTTATCCCTCATCTTACTACCTTTCCCAGTAGTCTCACAAATTGGCACCATTATCCATTTAGTTGTTCAAGCCAAAAATCTGGAAAATATTCTTTTTTTTTTTCTTTGTCCCAGGGATTGAACCTAGGGGCACTTAACCACTGAACTTAGGGCCTCACTAAATTGCTAAGGCTGGCTTTGAACTCATGATCCTCTATCTCAGCCTCTTGAACTGCTGCAATTACAGGCATGTGTCACCACATCCACCTTGGAAAACATTCCAGATTCCTCTTTTACCTCCCACATCCATCCATCCAATTCAGCCAGTCCAGCTGAATTGTTCTCTAAAACATATCCCAAGCCAGCTAGTTCATTTTACTGCATTTTCACTACCATCACCCTATTTCAAGATGTCATAATCTTACACATTGAAACTAAAAAGTCTGTCCAACCAACAGGACCACATAATTACTTTTTTTTTTTTTTTCAGTACTGGGGATTGAATTTAGGGTCCCTGTGCACTAGGTGAGTGATCTATCACTAAACTACATCCCCACCCTATACATTGTCTTTTGTAACCCTCCACACTTTTGCTGCCTTGGCCCATGCGGTAGAGTAAAAATATATTTGATCTTGTCCCTGGTTCCCAGCTCAGGAAATACTTGTAATTCTCCCATATTAGTGTCTGTTATTCATAAGAAGACCCTTTCGATCACACTTAAGTTTATGGTAATGGGGTGACTCAGGGTCACCTCATTGAGCCCCTAGATAACTTCTGGATGGTAAATGGTCACCACAAAAATTAGAGGGTCGGGTGGGCACTCTGTTGCACATCTATAATCCCAGCTACTTGGGAGGCTGAGGTAGGAGGATCACAAATTTGAGGGCAGCCTAGACTTTACTGAGATCCTTGATGGGGAAAACAATAGCTAGGGACATAAATCAGTGATAATACTTTCAAAACATGTGCAAGGCCCTGGGTTCAATCCTAGTACTGCAAAAAGAAATAAGATTAGAGGTTAGGTGGGCCAGTGGGACACGTTTTATAATCCCAGCAACTCAGAAGGTTGAGACAAGAGGATCAATCCCCAGTCGTGTCCCCCCCCATCACCCTGTCACCTCCCTCCTGCACCTCCATCCCCCCTGTCCGCTGCCCCCACCCCAGCCAAAAAAAAAAAAAAAATAGAGGTTAGGAACCTTCAGACTCATCTACTCCCCACCTCCAGGAAGAGAAGGAAACTGAAAATACAGGTTATAAACCACCACCAGGGTTTGAACTCAGGGGCACTTGACCACTGGGCCACATTCCTAGCAACTATTTTTGTATTTTATTTAGAGACAGGGTCTCATTGAGTTGTTTAGGGCCTCACTTTTGCTGAGGCTGGCTTTGAACTAGTGCAAGCCAGTCTTGAACTTGCAACCATCCTGCTTCATTCAACCTTTATAGTTGCCATTATGGGTATGCACCACCAAGCCCTGCCTGTCTTGTATCTTTTATAATAAAACTATGTACACAAGTATTTCCTGAGATTTGTGAATTGTTCTAGAGTTGTTCTAGTGGATCATTAAACCTGAGGAGAAAATTGTAGGAACCCTTGAGTCTCAGTATCTGTTTCTCTTTTCTTTTTCTTTAAGCAATATTTGGGATCGAACCCAGGGCCTTATGCATGCTGGGCAAGTACTCTACCACTCCAGCCCAGAAACCCTTGAATTTATCACTGATCAGTCAGAAGTATGGGTTGGACTACAACTGGTGAGTAGTCTAGTAGGACCAAGCTATGAGACTCATCTCTTCATGAACCCCTGAATTTAGGTCACCAATTTGGTGTCAGAGAAATAGAGAATTGTATTTGATGTCAGAAAGTACATCAGAGGCACCTTCTTCCATTAAAAATTATATTTACAACCATGTTGGGATAAAGACAGATGTAATGTAAGCTAATTATATATCATTTTTTCCTCTGATTTTCCAAGATTTAAAACATTTTTGTGAGCCAGAGCAGTGGCACATACTTGTAATCTCAGCAACTGAGGAGGCTGAGGTAGGAAGATGTCAAGTTTGAGCCCACCCTGGGCAATTTAGCAAGACCCTCTCTCCAAAAAAAAAAAAAAAAAAAAAATGTTGGAATATATCTCAGTTTGGTAGTTCAATCTCCAGTACCACCAAAACATGAAGGAAGAGAAGGAGAAGAAGAGAACATTTAGTGATTTTTAGTTCTTAGTTAGTTTTTAGTTATGCCTTCTTGAAAATGAATCTCACTTATATTGTTTATAGGAATGATACAGCCACTCTGGAAAATAGTTTGGCAGTTATCTTGAAAAATGAAAATGTACTTAACCATAAGACTCAGTAGTGATTGCACCCTTGTGCATTTATCCCAGAGAATGAAGACTTATTTTCACATAGGAGGTTATACAGGAATGTCCATAGCAACTTTATTTATTAAAATCCTGTGTTACCATGGAGTATTACGCAGCTCTAAAAAATGACAAATTCATGGAATTTGCAGGGAAATGGATGGCACTAGAGCAGATTATGCTTAGTGAAGCCAGCCAATCCCTAAAAAACAAATACCAAATGTCTTCTTTGATATAATGAGAGCAACTAAGAATAGAGCAGGGAGAAAGAGCAGGAAGAAAAGATTGATATTAAACAGAGACACGAGATGGGAGGGAAAGAGAGAGAAAAGGGGAATTGCATGGAAATGGAAAGAGACCCTCATTGTTATAAAAAACTACATAAAAGAGGTTGTGAGGGGAATTGGAAGAAAAAACAAGGAGAGAAATGAATTACAGTAGATGGGATAGAGAGAGAAGATGGGAGGGGAGGGGAGGGGGG